AAACGCCTTAAATCGTTCAAATCCTGGGATTTTGTCGCTAGCAAGTATACGTGAACATATCGACTGTAGTCGTCGACATATGTGAGTACGTACAGAGCCACGCCCTTCGTCTTCGGGTCCATAGATCCCAAAACATCGGTGTGTACAATTTCAAGTGGTTGACTTGCTTTAATATTACTTCCTGAAGTATGATTGAACGGGTTGTTTGTCAAATTTCCGCGTGCACATGCATCAGATACACCGCCATCAGATGCAACAACTCTCGAAATACCATCGCAAGACTTCATTGCTTGCTTGATCTTGTTTGTAGACACATGACCTAGGCGTGCATGCTATAGCCTACTAGTGTCATTTATCGCATCACTGCTCTCAGCCTTGTGGGCCTCTAATGTAACATGCTGTTCACATTCCACGCAAAAAGCTTTCCCATTCGTTTAATTACTGCTACAGTCACGTTGTGGCTCATCAGAACTTCTAGATCGCCCTTAAACTGAACAAGCACGCATCAGGCTGTCACAGCTGCTATAGACACAAGTTTCTTGTCCATCCCAGGCACATGTAACACCTCCATAAGCTTGTGTGGAGAAGTGCCAGAAGAATCGGGGCCCCTGAGGATATCACAATAAAGTGGAAAAGAATCCAGGCCTCGCAAGGTTCCAAGGTTCACACGAGGGTCATCAGGAACAGGGTTTCCAGTCACCAGGGACAGGGTTTCCAGTCACCAAGGACAGGGTTTCCAGTCATTAGGGACAGGATTTTCAGTCACCAGGGACAGGGTTTGCAGTCACCGAGGACAGGGGTATCATCACCAGGAACATCACCAGGGAAAGGATTTTCAGTCACCGTGAATAGGGCTTTTAGTCACCGGGGACAGGGGTATCAGACACCGGGGACAGGATTTCCAGTCACCGAGGACAGGGGTACCAGTTACCGGGGACAGGTGTACCATTCACCGGGGACAGGGGAATCAGTCACCAGGAGCAGAGTTTACAGTCACCAGGGACAGGGGTACCAGTTATTGGGGACAGGGGTACCGAAGGTCCAGGATCCTGAATTCATAGAAGGTACAAGGTTTCCCTACCGTGAGCACAGCCTGTACACCAGGACCCCGAAAGGTCCAGTGCTCCGAGGTGGTCCAGGGTGCTAAGGTCAAAGAAGGTACAAAGTTTTTCTGCATGCAGAGTCGGTACAAGTCCAGGACCTCAAGACCAAGGCCCCAAGGGACCAAAAATTCAGGGTACAAGTTCCCCGGGTTAATAAGGCCTCAGGGTACTTGGACTCCAGGTTCAAGGAGCCCAGGTTACAGGGGCTTTAGGGTACAAGGGTCCAATGCCCGAGGGTGCAGAAACGGTACACGGAACCCCGAAGATTACAGAAAGTACAGATACCAAGGAGGCCTTTTTTCTCATAAGAGTCAACACGTGGCACTATCTAGAGCGAAGGGTTAGAATTAGGCAAGAAAAGCATACAAAGTATAAGATAAATTACGCACTCGAATTTGCATTACACCAAAGTTTAGCTCGTTTTAATCGAAATTGATAAAGTCAGAAAAATATCAGAAACTTTTCGATTATAAACCTCTTCGCAGATCAGCAGCAGAAACAGGCTCTAAAATCAAAATTGACATGATGACCACGCGAAACGGCTGTGTACTGTATTAAATAATGTTTATTTCTTAACTGGCTGAGCTTGACAGTAGCGTCAAATCGCCTACTGCCCCCAACACTTACTTCCATCACGCAAAAGCTCTACCCAGCGCAGTAATTTGGTCGACTTTGTTTATGTTCCCGGCCTCCCCACACTCGTCACAATTGATCGCGTTTTACAAATGGTATTGGCTATACCGACGATTAAATGCTGCGATGATGCCTGCATCCATCGGCTAGATCTTGGATGTCGTATATTGGGGTAGCAGCTGTGCCTTGACATTTGTTAATTCCAGGCCATCTGTGATATGCGACGCAGCATTGTCGAACAAATGAAGATTTTTTTTGTTTTTGCTCTTATTAGAATATAATGTTATAATCAATAGAGAATAGAAGTCATTGTTTACAGCTCATAACGCACCTTTACTGTTTTGTCCACATTTGCAAGCCATTCCTGAAAGATCAGGCCCGTCATCAAAGTCTTTGTGTTATTTCGGTAAGAAAAAATTTGTGCTTGGCCTGACTTCTTCTTAAAGCACCGGGGCTTCTTTGCTTTTCGATAAAAACAGGCTGCAACTTGTCAGATCCATCAGTATTTGCAGTGAGCGCAATTAAGATTCGCTTCTGCAAATGATGTCAGCGCATACACTGTGTTAGTAAATAACAATAAGCCATCTAAGAATAAACTTACTTTTTTTCTTGTGTCCTTGAAATTCTTGGTGAGAAATGGTACTGTCAGGTGTCATGCTGTAGAACAGTCCTGAAATATAGCCAAATTTTAATTCGATCATTACAGGTAATAATCAGACAGGAAAATATATCGGTTTCATCCATGTTGTAAATATCACACAGAGCGTACTCGGCAATGACCATCTTCAGATCAAGCAGAGCTTCATTATGAGCCTCTACGTCCACCGAACCACTTTCACCGTGGATACGAATAGGATGGAGCTTTTGACATTGTTGGAAGTTTTATAGCTATCCGTGCGAGATAACGATGGCGTCGCTTAGAATTTCAAGCGATTGTTCAAGTGGTTGGGTCTTCGCGCAAATGAGTTACACAGATATATTCACCTTGCGATGTTGACACCGTGGGATCCAAAGAGACAAAGCTTCTTCCATTAAGAATATTGAGCCAGCTGCTGGCGCTTCGCATTTAGACTGCTTGAATTCACGATCTCCAGATTAGCCCGCTTTTTGGATTATCTTGCTAATTGATGCCTGTGACAGCGTTCTGGCAAGGCCGAAATCCTTCGTTGCCCATTTAGCCAGTGCCGTCTGAGCTAATTCTGGATTCTCATCCTTGTACTTGCAAATTTGAAGACGCTGTCCATTGGCAAGCCGGATTTGCGACATCTTCAACTGTCTAGGTACATTAGCAGGTAAGACACTGTAAAATTACATATAGCTTTCACAATTAGCACAGGCGAAACAAACTGACGGCATGTCTCACACCTCTAGGCACGGGTTAAATAAACTAAGGAGTCTGAGACTTGAGCTCTGTCAGCAGTCTGAACCTTAGGGCTGGATCCTGATCTGTTTTAGGAGGAAGTGGGAATGGTCTGGTCCGCATGTTATTATCTAAGTTCTCTTATGTACAATACACATAATCCGATAAGTCATAATCTCTGTTAAGTTATGGGTATTGTCGTCCACCATACCCATAACTTAACGGAGGGAGCTTTGTAAAAGGTATCAGTTATGTCTCTAACTATCGGTATCAGTTTCATAATGAATACAGTAGTACTAAGTACAACATACACTGACGATTGGATGATTCTATATCCAGATACAAGCAATGGAATACTATAATTACACATTATGGTAATTGATTAAGTGTAGGGCACAAAATCTTTATGCATTAATATAATTAGATTTTACTTTGAGTTTAAGGTCACAACGCTCGAAAAGACTTGTTCTCTTGTGCACTTCGTGCGCTATTTTTCTAAGCTTCTAGCTTGTTCTTGCACTCTGTGCGTTGGTTCTCTGACCTTTAAGCAATTGCTTATAGACTAAAAGTCCCTCCTAATTCCTTAGAACATGATGACTTCTTAGTCGTTTGATTAGTTCCTTAGAACTATGTGGCTTTTAGCCGTCAACTTTAATTAGTTCTACTGAACTAAGAGGCTTTTAGCCTAATAAAACCTTCCTCTGACCAAAGAGCTGTGTAGCTCCCCTACAGTTCCTTAAACTTAGTGGCTGTAAGCCGAAGCTTTGATAAGTTCTCTAGAACTAACAGGCTTTCAGCCTAAAAAGTCTTTCTCTGACTGTAGAGCTGTGTATGTTGCAATCTCGCTTTATTGCACTTGGGAGGAACATATCACAACAGTGTATCTACGCTACACTATCTGATTAGTACCGAAGTGATCAATGTAAAGCTTCATATTTTCATTTATTAGGCGTTTGGGGACACGTTTTACGAACTTAGTTGTAGGGAAAAGAGGATGTACCGAAGTTATAATTAACTCATAAAAGCGCTAAATTTAGAGTATAAATTACCGCTCTTATATCTAAAAACAATCCCAGAAAAACTCAGAAACCGTTTACTGTATAAGTTTGGCCTAAAGTACACCAAGCCAAACTTCCGCGTCAACAAACTTGTGCAAAAAAGTCCGATCAGAGACTTCTACGGTGCAAATCTATATAATCGGGCGATTGTTAACGAAAATGACGAGGGATTATAAAACCCAATCATCTTTATTGACAGTGCCTCATGAAGACTTAATGTGCAATACAAATTTGCTGATTTAGAATTTGGTAATGTTGTTCTTAATCTCGTACGACAACGCTACAGTTGATCTATAAGACAAAAATGTGATGTTTGCCGAGTTAACACAAGCGGCGACTTTGGTTTTAACATGAATTACAAGACTATCCACAGATTTTAATGTTTGTTTCAATTTCAAAAGCCTCGCTTGTTGTTGTCGTTTGATCGAGGTGTTGCAAAAATCAGATGTAGTGATGTATTGGACCTACTGAAGAGTATAACGACAGTCGTGAACCGTGTCATCTTGTCACGAACTACAAGTATTTCTCTATCAGAGTCAGATCGCACGAAAACCTGTCACTCTGTCTGATAACGAAAGCAAATACGCTGAAAACCCAACGGATTTGGTGCCAACGTACGCAATCTGATTATATAACGCAATGCTAAGCGACTTGGCCATCTCCACTGCATTTCCGACCTGAGGCATCCCACAATTCATTCTCACACGCAAAGAATACAATTGCGACCAAAGCGCAAAACACCACAACGGCATCCTAGCGATGAATCTTGCATACGCCTTCGCGGTTTTAGCAACGTGTTTTGTCACGTCGGTTGTCTCCGTCTTTGACAATGGCACACAAGTTAAAATGTCGACGGAATATACCCATGTCCAAGCAAAAATACGCGATGGCGTCGTGAAAAGTCGAGGCGTCAATCTTGGCGGATGGCTGGTAGCTGAGCATTGGATGACGGCAAACGCAGCGTTTTGGCAAGGTATCGAGAGTCGCTTTGCTAACTCTGGTGAGTATACGGCAATCACGAAAGCGACAAGTCTAAGCAGTATTCACTCCAAGCTAAGCGATCACCACGCCACCTTCATCTCCGAGAGTGATATCGAGCAGATCGCGGCAGCAGGACTCAATACAGTTCGAGTGCCTGTGGGTTTTTGGATCCTAGGCTACGACAACCACGACCCAGCGAACCAGCGCGAGTGGGAAGCTTACACTCGAGGAACGATCGTGCACTTGGACCATCTCATCCGAAGCTGGGCTAAGAAACACAATGTGGCGGTGCTGGTCAGCTTGCACGCTGCCAAAGGTTCGCAGAATGGTGCTGACCATTCATCACCTTCAAGTCCAGGACATACGTTTTGGAGCCAATACTCAGAGAATGTTGCCAACACTATCGAGGTGGCAAGGTTTCTTGCCGATCGATACCTTCACGACGAGGCATTCCTCGGCATTGGTCTTTTAAACGAGCCCAACGGCGGTACGGACGAAAAAGTGCTGTACCAGTACTACATGGACGCGTATCGAGCCGTGCGGTCAACTGGAAGCGATTGCGTGCTAAGTGTTATGCCAATGCTGCAAAAACAGAGCCCCGACGAGATGGTGGGATTTATGACAATGCCAGAGTTTTCAAACGTCTGGGTCGAATGGCACCCATACTTTATCTGGGGCTTCGAGCACACATCGGACGAGCAGTTAGTGAACGTGGCTATTCAACGCGACTACAAGGAGCGCGTGGCCAAGTGGAACGAGCGTCCGAAACATAATCGACTGTTCATTGGTGAGTGGAGCCTGGCTACGTCTTCCAACATACGCCACAACAACCCCAATTTGTTCTACAAATTTGCAATAGAGCAGCTCAAGGTGCACGAACAAGCGGAAGGAGGTTGGACTCTCTGGACGTGGAAGGCAACAGGAGACGCCACTAGCGACGTGAAGGCCTGGTCTTTGCAGAAACTCCTTGCAGACGACCGAATTGGCAACATTCTGCGCATGAATTCGTAGATCGTCTTACTAATGACAGGACAGTTTCAAGTTGAATGCAAGTCTATTGATTGACACAAAAATTCGCAATTGATAATAGGAATCTAATAATAGGCTCCTTCATATTAATGTCATCCAAACTATTGAGCAATTGCCCAAAATCTTAACGTTCACTTAATTTCTTGTATGATTTGTGTTGTTCTAGGGGTGTAGTTGTTCAACACGTGTCTATCCACTATGTCATCCATCTTTCCTTTCATCGAACATGCTTATGCTAAATCAAAGTTCACCTCGCCTTAGCCTCAGTTCTTCAGATCTGCGGCCCAGAATCAAGCAAGTAGATAAAAAATGACGCAGCAATGGCTTGCCAAGGCTGTGCGCCATAGTGTGCGTTGTAATGTTGCTGCACGTGTAGCCCTCTCTCGTCTTAACGTCTCTAGTAACGTGGCGTCACGTTGGACGCGTGCCTTGTCGTCTACACCACATCCAAGTGAGACTTTTATGACGGGCACGAATAATGCCTATGTAGAGGCGATGTATTCTAGCTGGAAGAGTGACCCCAAGAGGTAAATAATACAATCATTCCTGCTGGCCGACAAAACGACCATCATTCAGAAGTATACACATACATTTTAACTTTTTACTTGTGTATACACGTTTTGTCATTTATTATTTTAGTGTCCACACATCATGGGACGTATACTTTCGTCAGATTGAGAGTGGGAGCGTACCTGGTGAAGCCTTTATTCCGCCACCTACTATCCAGCAAGGAGTGACACCCGTCCGTTCTGTCGGTGGTACTGAAGCGTTGTCGTCTAGCGAGTTGAATGAAGCTCTGGGATTGAGTTATCTGATCCGAGCATACCAAGTGCGTGGCCATGAGGCCGCCAATCTGGACCCACTGGAATTACATGAACGTCCGGATCTACCCGAACTGGATATCCGGATGTACGGGTTTAAGGAAAAGGACTTGGACCGCGTGATTGTTATTCCCAAGAACTTGTACGTGATTCTTCTTTAAGGATGCGTATACTGTATAGTGTTTACAATGAAGAGAGGGGCTGACGTAGTTGTACTGCTGTAGTTCGTCGGGTGTCTCAGGCTTCTTGGAAGAGCTGGCTGGTGGCAATAACAGTATGACGCTGGGCGAAATCATTCATCGCCTCAAGGAAACATATTGCAGCTCAATTGGAGTGGTAAGGAGTAGCCATTTGCTAACAATAAGGTGGCTGTGCAAAGATGTTGACGTGTTTTTTTACTTCTCGGCACCTTTTTTGCAGCAATACATGCACATATTGGATCGTGAGCAGTGCAACTGGATCCGTACAAAAATGGAGCATTTGGTAAAGCACGAAGAGTCGAAGGAGAAAAAGTTACACATTTTAGAGAGACTGGCTTTTTCCGTGGTGTTTGAGCGCTTCTTGGGCAACAAATATAACACGACCAAGCGTTTCGGTCTGGATGGTGCAGAGAGTCTTATCCCCGGTCTGAAGTTCATGATTGACCGCGGCACGGAGCTTGGCATGGAGCATTTGGTGATCGGCATGCCTCACCGTGGCCGACTTAATGTGCTGTCGAATGTGATCCGTAAGCCGATCCAGCAAATTTTTAAGGAGTTTCAGGGGACGCACATTGACGTCGAGTCTTACAATGATCGCGATGTGGAAGACTGGTCAAACTCTGGTGATGTCAAGTACCACCTTGGCACGTCGTATGACCGCACGTACCCAGATGGCCGTCAAGTGCACCTTTCGCTGGTGGCCAACCCGTCCCACCTAGAGGCTGTTGACCCTGTTGTGGTCGGCAAGGTTCGTGCGAAGCAGTTTTACCTTGGCAACGATGCGGATGCCGAGAAGAAGGTTATGCCGCTGTTGCTGCACGGCGATGCCGCCTTTAGCGGCCAGGGTGTTGTTTACGAAACGATGCATCTATCCGGCCTTGACAACTACGACACGGGTGGTACCGTGCACGTGGTGGTAAACAACCAGATTGGTTTTACGACCGACCCAAAGAACTCTCGTTCATCGCAGTACTGCACAGACCTAGGCAAGGCCATGGATGTGCCTATCTTGCACGTAAACAGTGACGATCCGGTGTCAGTGGTGAAGGTGTTCGAGTTTGCGGCCGAGTGGCGCCAGAAATGGCGGTCGGATGCGATCATCAACCTGACGTGCTACCGTCGCTTCGGCCACAACGAAGTGGACAATCCGTTCTTTACTCAGCCACTTATGTACAAGAAGATTGGTCAGATGAAGTCGGTTCTTGACACGTTCGTTGACCAGCAGGTGGCTGCTGGCACTGCCACTAAGGAGGAGTGTGATGCCATTGTGTCCAAGGTATGGAACTTTTTCCAGACAACGTTTGATGAGACGGAGAAGTGGGAGGACACTAAGCAGAGCGACTGGCTTGCGAACCGTTGGGACTCATTCAAGAGTCCCAACCAGCAATCTCGTATTCGGCCTACGGGTGTGCACATGAGCGTACTGAAGCACGTTGGAGAGAAGATCAGTACCGTTACCCCAGGTTTCAAGGTTAACCGCCAGTTGGACCGCATCATGGGAGCCAAGAAGAGTGCGATCGAGTCGGGCGAAGGTATCGATTGGGGAACTGCTGAGGCTTTAGCCTGGGGTACGTTGCTGCTCGAGGGCAACCACGTCCGTATCAGTGGACAGGATGTAGAACGTGGAACGTTCAGCCATCGCCACGCTGTGTTACACGACCAGGAGACCAACGAGGTGTTTGTGCCCTTGAATCACTTGGCCACGAAGACGATCCCTTCAGCTCCTCTGGAGTACAGGACTCCTGGTGGTGGCACCGTCCCGGACACGCAGGCCGAGTTCGTGGCATCCAACAGTTCCCTGTCGGAATTCGGTGTGCTGGGCTTTGAGCTCGGCTACTCGCTGGAGAACCCCAATGCTTTGGTCATGTGGGAAGCCCAGTTTGGTGACTTTGCTAACGGTGCCCAGATCATGATCGATCAGTTCCTGAGCGCTGGGGAGGATAAATGGATGCGACAGTCGGGTCTTGTGATGTTGCTGCCCCACGGTTATGAGGGTCAAGGCGCCGAGCATTCGTCGTGCCGCGTGGAGCGCTATCTGCAAAGCACCGATGATGACCCGAACGTCGTGCCACTCATGGATGAAGAGAACCGCATGCAGATTCAGCACACGAACTGGCAGGTGGTGTACTGCTCTACACCCGCCCAGTACTTCCACGTATTGCGTCGTCAGATCCACCGTGATTTCCGTAAACCGCTGATCTCGGTGCAGCCAAAGCACTTGCTTCGTCTGCGTCAGGCTTCGTCGAAGATGGAGGACATGGCTGAGGGCACAAAATTCCAGCGTTTGATCCCCGAAGTGGCCCCAGAAAAGCTAGTCGAGGACGACAAGGTGAAGCGAGTGGTCTTCTGCTCGGGCAAGATCTACTACGAGCTGGCCCAGGAACGTGACGAGAAAAACATTAAGGACGTGGCGATTGTGCGGGTGGAGCAGATCGCCCCGTTCCCGTTCGACAAGGTAGCAGAACAGGCCGCTCGCTACCCGAACGCCGACATTAAGTGGGTGCAGGAGGAGCCGTTGAACATGGGCTTCTGGACGTACGTGTCGCCGCGCATCGAGACGGCGCTGACGCAGTTAAACAGTGACTCTCGCAGGCCTGCATTCATTGGCCGTGCCCCTGCCGCGGCACCGGCTACGGGCTACAACGCTGTGCACCAGATCGAGCAGGACCGCATCATCAAGAAGGCGTTAAAGGTGTAATCGCTGGTGGGACGAGGAGGTTCAAGGGGCTCTGGTTAAAAACGCAAGCAGCCTAAGCGGACCTTTGTTCCGATAGAAGGGCTTTGCATTCTTTTGGTAGCTATGCTGCTTGCTGTCTACTGTACATGTCTGACATGAAGAAAATGGAAAGATAGAAATGCTGCAGTCACATAATGCACACGTAAGGAGAAAAAAACTTGCATACGTAAAATTCATATAGTCTCTTTCTCAGAAGGGTAGAAAAAATCTGCTAGCTGAAAGTATTAATTTGTTAGGTTAAGAATCACTATACCTATGACAACAACACGTTTCATAAATCGAGTTCAATATAAGCGTTAGCGACTTGGCTGATGCAGCGAAACAACCAAGAAGGAAGCAAATGTGCTTATCGATCTCTTAGAAGCCGTAAATACCGACAAGTACCATGTTTTTAGCCGTCATACACGAAGTCAAGAGGATGTCTATCCGCTTTTTGATCTGGTCATGCGTAGTAATTAGCAGGCGCCATTTTTTCGGCATAGCTTGCATCTACCCGTCGATAGCAAACAGCAAGTGATAGTTGGCCTAAATACACATTGACTTTGATACCTATAAATTTACCTGATTTAGCAGAGTGATTGACCAGTATACATCTACTGTAGGGGTATCCGTCGGAACGACGGGTAAATACCCTAGTTAGTTATAATAATATTCTTATTGACACTTCACATAAGTGTCAATATTATGTAGTAATATAAACCCGTCGTTCCACCGGATACACATTAGAGAATTTCTCTAACGCGTTAATATACAGTCATTTATTTTTAGATAATGCCTACACCCTAGTGAATCGATAGACGATAGCACCATGTTTCATCGACCCACCTCTTCTATGGTGTCCACCCTTCGTTCTGATGGTGCAAAGTAGAAAATATTGGCGTGTTAAACGCCCCAATTTGCTCGGATGTATACCCGTCATTCCAGCGGATATGGTGCGCAAGTCGACGCCTGTAATATATTGACCTTTACATCATCGTTTTACCAATTTGGTTGACTACATTAAAATGGTGATATAAAGGTCAATGTGTACTTGTCGTTCAAACGGACATGGTGACTAAAGTTTGCCTTTTAACCTTCGAATCCAACATTTTCCCTTACGATGTTAAGGTAAAGTGATGGGTATGAGAATTAATGTGTACTCGTCGTTCCGACGGATAGTAGCGTGCGGACCGAATAGACAGATGTAATAGTGTATATAGGACCGTATGTAAATTAATTTATGTCTGTCAATCAATTTATAATACAACATTTTACTGTGTGCAGCTATATGATAGTGCCCGTTGTTCCGACAGGTAGGTGCGCGAATCTACGCTGATAGAACCCTGGCCCACCATATATCTTAAAGTAGGGATGCTCACTCGTCGTTCCGACGGACATGGTGAGCAAACATCTGCTAGATAATCTTCGTACCCACTTATTATTCTGGTTGAGTCAGATAATTGCTACATATGATGTCAATAAGTATGAAAAGCAAGGTACGCTGGTCAATGTGTACCTGTCGTTTCGAAGGTCAATATGTACCTGTCGTTCCTTACGAACACAGTTAGCGAAGTATGTCTTTAAATTTCGTATAATCAGTCATATAAATCAAACTATGGGTATGAAGGTGAACGTGTACCCGTCGTTCCGTAAATTTTCATGTCATTATATTACACGACAAACGGAATTTTATTGTAATGATCTTACGATATATATTTCAGTCATGCTATCCATTTTTATAAAGATGTCCGACGGATTCATTGCTAAACCTCATACTTCTATTCATATCTGTTGGTCTTCTTTCGGTGTGTCAAACAGCATTGTTAATGCAACGTTTAGCCTGTAGACCTGCTCGCATTAATATGCAAAATCAGCCAATCCAAAATTAGCGAATAATACAAAATAGCCAATCCGAATGCCGGAAAAGGATCGCACGGACAGACAGACGGACACTATTCTTTTATTATATAGACTAGGGTGCTCACCCGTCGTTCCGACGGACATGGTTTTTGCTGTTATTAGTACATATAGGGGTGTTCCCGTCGTTCCGACCGATAGATGCACAAATTTGACGCTGATCGTATATTGACTTCGGTAATTGATTAGTTCTAAAAGGTAATGTGCATGAAGGTCAATGTGTGCCTGTCGTTTCGAAAATTAGATTTTTCACCCGTCGTTTCGACGAACATGGTCTGCCTTTTGACCTGTAAACTAATCATTTTGTATTAAAAACTAAATCGACTTATGGGGTAAAAATGGATTTGAAGGTTAATGTGGACTCGTCGATCCGTAAATGTTTCATTGATCACCCGTCGTTCTCACGATACAAAGTAGTATATATAGGTATCTTAAACGTAGGGTGTAAAGTTGTCGTTCCGACAGAAATTGCGCATGAAGCATATGCTGGTAGTATATAGAGGCACGCTTAAAAAACGCAACGCTTCGCTTGGATGTGTGCCCGTCGTTTTGACGGTAGGCGCGCGCGGACTGAACATAAAAATTCAACTTCTTATAAACAGAAGTGAATGTTGGTGTGTTAAACAGCTTTTTTAAGCTTCTTTTATCCAAAATGCAGCTTGTCGATGCTCCCCGTCGTTCCGACGCATAGGTGCGCGAATTCTCCACTAATAGTATACTGGCCCGTCATTTAACGTAGAATATCTTAAGATTAATTTATAGGATATAAGAACGAAAGCCAATGTGTAGGAAGGTCAGTGTGTATCTGTCGTTTTGACGGACATGGAGAGTGAAGTCTACTTTTTTGATTTTCGTACCTATCTATTTACTTTATATATTTGATTAACTCTGGTACATTTATAGGTCATATACTGTACTATACATATGGGTCACTTCGCTTATTGGAACTTATTCCAGTTCAACCTAGTAACAACGTTTGCTTTAACCACATTTAGTATAATGTCAAAGCACTGAACTCATGTGTTTTTAAAACGAATCGAAAGCATGTGTCTAATCAAATATTCTAATAATATGCTGTGTTCGATATAGCTACAGTGTATATGTAAAGATGGGTAGAAGGTTGATGTGTACCCACCATTTCGTATGCAAATCTGCTCAGGTTATTATTATCAATGCAAAATACAATATCAGCCAATGCAAAATTAGCCAGTAATGCAAAATTAGCCAATCCGAATGCCGGAAAGGAGCACTACGGACGGACGGACGGACACAATTCTTTTATTATATAGAGGATAATATTTGACAATATTATTTTTTCCTATAATATTGTCCTCGCATCTCCTTGAAGTTGGAGATGCCCTCTAATTGGTTAATATAGGCCATCATATCAACCAACGCGCTGAATTACCGATGGACGCGCGAAATGAGTGGAGGGCAAGTTTTCAAGATACATAGTTGTACTTTAATATAGTTAAGACAAGGTTATTAATGATTTAGTTTTATTAGATAGTTTAACTGTATTAAATAAAGTTCTCTTTTCCTCTACTTCTAAGCTTGTTGTTTAGAAGAAAAGATTCCTCTGCCTCTTTGTATAAGGGAGGTTTTGAGGCACCTGCTTTCAATGTAATCAGTGTAAGTAGACTGTATATAGTCGGAGGGTGACCCACTACACCTGGTAGCACTTCGTGGTCCGTTCAGCTTCCACCGCACCATCCGCTATGGAATCAGCGGGTGATGAACGTCATCACGCAACGCGTGATGATTCCGCCATTTAAGTGATTTCGAATGGAATGCGGTTCAGTGTATGGCTGGATCCATCGGCAGCCCTGCCGTTGGTGCCATGTTGCTCTCTCTTAGCGGAGTCGACCAACATGCAACCATCGCCAAGTTCATACAACATGAGCTTGACGAAGTTGTAAAGAACTCACCTTGCTACAGGAGCAAGGTTCTCAACAGGTTGACCTGTTGAGAGAACAAGGCGCTCAACAAGCTAACTTGTTGATGCAGCAGGGTGCTCAACAGTCTGAAATGTTGAGACAACAGCAGACTAGTGCTGAATCTGCCGGGTCGGCGTATACACGTCGACCCGAGTCCTTGAAGATTGATGTCTACAAGTACAAGGCAGCCGAAAGTGACTCCTTGTTAAGATGGTTCGTCGAACTCGACGATGCCATTGAGGCTCGTCGCATCGATGACAGTGCGATGAAGGTCAAGTTCGCCATGTCGAACTTGACAGGACGTGCCAAAACTTGGCCCTTAGGGCTCAAACTGCATGACCCATACGTTATCCCAACGTATGATGTCTTCAAGGCGCGGCTCAAACACAGGTTTGAACCGCCTCGCGCCGAATTCAGGGCTCGGGCTGAGCTCCTAGATTTGAAACAGGGTATACGTGATATACACGCTTACGCCCAACACGTACGATACCTCGTTAGTTGTATCGTGCTGAACCCAATCGATGAACACACGCAGGTTGCTGTGTTCATCAAGGGTCTGACAGATGGTCCCGTCAAGACCCGTATGTTCCGCTTGGAACTAGAATCGCTGGATCAAGCGATCTCTGCAGCGGAACAGGAGGACTTTAGCCTACAACTGTAATGGGCTACATTACACATATAGCATTAACACAAATAAACAATTACATGTGTAGGCAGGTGCTGGGCCCGAATAGCGGGCACAGCGTGGTAATTTATTATTGGTTTATTATTGGGCCTAAAGTCCCCAATATGGACCAATGATAAATCAACCTGAAATTGTGTGGTTCCCGAAAGGCGGGAACACTGTCGTATTTATTACGACTAAAATCTTCGTAATTAGTACGAATTAAAACCAAAATAAAAATCAGAGTTAAATTTACTTAATACCTAATACTTGGGCTTGAGTCTTCCTCAAGCGCACGTGTAAGCTAGTGACGGTACGTTCTAGCCCCGTTACACCTGGTAGCACTTTGTAGTCCTTCCTATGCCCGAGTTTGGGATGAGCGAATCGTCGTACTTTGACGCTCCAGATTTATTTCTGGAGCACGCGACCTTCCCCCATCTTACTGGTGTTGAGTGGGATGCCCT